AGACAGACAGAGAGAGACATAGAGACAGAAAGCGAGAAATCACCCCCCGGGGGGATGGTCACACCGCAATCCCTTCTCCTCCATTCTCCTCTCAGGATCTTGGGCACGCACGCACACGCGCCCGGCGTGAGTTTTAAGCCACCGGGTCCAGGACATGAACCACGGTCGACTACGTGGGAGTCCAGCGACATAGCCATTACGCTAACTGCTGGTTCCCCTTACCATTTTGTAGCACTCTGTCACATTGTGTGGAATTGGTCTATGTGTGACTGATAAAATATGGCAGAAGTGATGACATGGAATTTCTTTTTTTTTTTCTTTTTTGGAGAGGTTTTTGCTATAGGGCGCGTGCACTCGCCAGAAAGACAGAGAGAGAGAGAGAGAAAGTGAGAAATCACCCCCAGGGGGGATAGCCACGCCACAGTCCCTTCTCCTCCATTCTCCTCTCAGGATCTTGGGCATGCACACACACGCGCCCGGCGTGAGTTTAAGCCACTGGGTCTGGGATGCGAATCGTGGTTGGCTACATGGGAGTCCACCGGCCTAGCCATTACGCCAACTGCTGGTCCCATGGTATGGAATTTCTAAAGTTAGGTTATTCAACACACTGTAGCTTCCCTCTTGGTTGTACTCTCTCCACACACCCCACCCCACTTATTTCTCTCTCTGTCATAACTCACCATTCACTCTGGGGGAAGGTAGTTGCAATGGCATGAAGACGTGTCATGGAGAGACCCACATGGTGAGAAACTGAGGTCTCCAGTCAGTAGCTAGTGAGGAGCCACAGCCTCCTAACAACCACATGAATGAGCTTGGAAGCAGATTTTCCAGCTCCAGTTGAGCATTCATATGAACTCAGGATGACAGCTTGATTAGAACTTCATGAAAAACCCGAACCCAAAACCTTGCAGCTATTCTGCTCCCACATTTTGGTCTCTCAAAAACTGAGATAATAAATATTTGTTGTTTGATAATGCTAAGTTATAGGTCAATTTGTTATTCAGCAATGGGTAACAAATATAAAATATAAGGAATTTTGTGCTATTTATATATCAAGTCAAATAAGAACAGCCCAGATGGATTCTGATCCCATTGGAGACATAAAAAATACCCTTTAAACAGAGTGATTCTAATCAATTTCTGTTTTTTTTAATTAAAAAAAAAACTTTAAAAATTACCAGAGGGCACATGTGCTCACCAAAGAAAGACAGGGAGAAAGCACCGCCACCCCATAGGGTATGGTCATGCTGTAATTCCTTCTCCTCCATTTCCCTGTAATGTCAGGATTTGGGGCATGTAAGCACACACACACACAATGTGTCTTTTTGGTTTTTTTGTTTTTGGTATAGGGCACTTGTGTTCACCAGAGACAAAAAGTGAGAAATCACCTGCCAGAGAGGACAGCCATGCCACAATCTCTTCTCTTCTATTCTCCTTTCAAGATTTCGGGCAAGCACACACACATGCTGCATGTGAATTTCAAGCCTCTGAGTCTGGGACTCAAATCACTGTTGGCCATATAGGAGTCCAGTGATGTGACCATTATGCCATCCATAATGTGTCTTTTAAGCCACTGGAGCCAGGATTCAAACTGTGATTGCCTGCATGGGATCCAGCTCCCTTAATCACTTAGCTATAGGCTGGCCCATTAACATAGTATTGTAAACGGTTTAACCAGTGGAGCCCCTTGAAGTCATGTCACCTCAACAAAATAAATCTAAGAATTTGTTAATAGGAGTGCATTGAGAAAATCAGGGGAAAAAAATAGATGAAACATTTAACAGACACAAAAATGAAAAGTTACTGTTGATAATAATGTATAAGGTCATGTTTTTGACTTGCCGAATATGAGCTATATCCATGCTTAGAAAATTTATCTTGTACACTGTAGAGATGTATAGTAATTGGGCCAGCAGATGGTGTAGTTGTTACATCATTGGACTCCCACCTAGTCAACTGCAGTTTGAGTCCTGGACCTGGTGGCTTGAAAATCATGCTGGGCACGTATGTGTGTGTGCCCAAGATCCCAGGAGAAGGGACTGAAGCACAGACATCCCTCATGGGGGGTGATTTCTCACTTTCCCCTCTCCTTGTCTCTGCCTCTATGTGTCTCTCTGGTGGGTGCATGCACTCTAACACAAAAATACTCTTAAAAAATGTAGGGAACCAGCAGTTAGCGTAATGGCTATGTCGCTGGACTCCCACGTAGTTGACCGCGGTTCACGTCCTGGACCCGGCGGCTTAAAACTCACGCCGGGCGCGTGTGCGTGCGTGCCCAAGATCCCGAGAGGAGAATGGAGGAGAAGGGATTGCGGCGTGACCATCCCCCCTGGGGGGTGATTTCTCGCTTTCTATCTCTGTCTCTCTCTGTCTGTCTGGTGAGCGCACGCGCCCTACAGTGAAAATCTCTCCAAAAAAAAAAAAATGTACAGTGATTAAATGTAAATTAAGAAATAATGATAATAGAATGTATGTGTGAATTGAGCGTACATAAGCTAAACTCACGACTAAAATTTGATTGTCTACAACAACAAGCTGTTTAACCAGTAAATCAAAGAACATTTTTTTAGTAGATTTGCTTTCTAACACCTATGTACATGCCAAAGTTTTAATTTTTAAAAATTAGCAAGCAAGACAAAATTGACTAAAAATTTATCTAATTATTTATTTAAGAGGTGAAAGGTCTGTGCTGAGTGGGAACATAGAGAGGTGTTTCCCATCTATGTTCCAAAATACTCTAGTACTGTGGTACGTCCTATGGACAAAGACTTCTGTGCACATACACATTTCAGAAACACTGCCTGAGTTCACTGCTACAGGACTTACAATGTGCACTGGCAATTGTTTGGAAAACCACTAACTTAAGAAAATAAATGCTAATAGTAGAATTTGGTGGGAAATAGCATTCAAAAGTAGCTATAAGGGAGCTGTGTCAAGTGCATGTAGCATACATTAAGAACTAAAAATGAGAACTGGCCCCATAGCACAGTGGTTAAGCATTGTGCATTGGGAGCTAGATCCCACATGGCTGACTGCAGTTCAAATCTTGACCCTGGTATCTTGAAAAACATACCTGGTACATGTGTGTCACCAAAATCCTGATAGGAAAGAGGAATAGGAGAAAAAAGAATTGTGGCATGACTGTGCCCCATTGGGCAGTGTTTTTTCTCATGCATGTGTCCTTTGGTATTTGAAACACAAAAATAAAAAGATACACAATCTGACATTGAGATAGACTATTTGAAATATGAGTGTTCAAAACACATTGAAAAGCAAGAATTGTATTCTTGCCTCCATTTTTGAATATAAAATCCAACATCTATCAGTGCTTTTCAATTTACAAAAAGAGAACCTATTCTAGGACAAGAGATAGCCATATCTCACATTCTATGGGATACCAAATCTCAGGTGATGGTCCCTGGAACATGGGGGAGCTAATGTGACCTTTGAGGGAATCAGCAACCAGAGAGTCCCAATGGCCAGTAAGGTTCTGCTTACTGTCTTCCTTCCAATCTAGGCACATACCTTGTTTCTATATCCTGACTTATGATGCCAAAGAGAAGGGAAGGGAACTTGCTATTGCTAATATCCTAAATCAACCTTTGCACTATCCATTGCCTGCTCAAGGGAGGAGAAGGTCCAGTAGTTTGTCAGGAAGGGCCTGGTCTTATCTTGAGACCACTTTATGACAACCATCAAACCAACCCATGGGTCACCAAATAAAATGAGGACATTCTGGCTGCAGAGTTTACCACTAGATGCTTCATTCTGCAAGGCTGTGAAGTCATCAAATCGCACATCAGGCCTGTTGAATCATTTCACTTTCCTACTAAGTTAATTTGCTCTGATAGTAGGGAGCTCAGATAGCCTTTCCCTTGGTACATCCAAACATCCATTCTGTAATGAGAGTATTACTCACCTGTTGTCACCGCTATGCTCAAAATATCAGTAACTCGGTCCGTGTTGTTTCCTTGAATTGGAAAAGTGAGGTTGTTTAAGTAGGCCTTGACAGGCTCCAGGAATGATGCATTTTCAAAACTGATCTCAATATCAACAGTGAACTCTTCAGCTGCAGGACTACTTGTGGCAACTGAAATGCAAGACAGGAAGGCTGTGAGAACTTCCTGTGTGAGATGAAGATCATAGTAGATATTTCAGCAGTTAATGGCAATGACCAGTACAGGGGGACACTGGGCATATCAGCTCTTGAAAATTTATAATGAGCCCTTAAGAAAGAAAAAGAGTTTGTCTGCTCACCACCAGTTACTACCTTCCACTTTGGTGCCTAAGGACTACTGTGTGGAGAATGGACTTTACTGAGGCCAGAACGGAAGCAGGAGGAGCAAGGACAGAGGATCTAGTGACAGTTCAGACAATAAAGGCCCTAGTCCTAACTCATAGGAACAAGCCAGTACCTTTCAATTGGTATACACATATTCAAAGAGCCAAACCAAGCATGGCTTAAAGACCTTGGAGAAAAGTCTTTCAGCTAATTGACTTTATTCTTAGTCTATGCACATGTCATGTATCTTTGTTCTATTTTGGTATCTCCAATGTCAAGAACAAGACAGATGCTCAACAAATCTGGCCTGCCTGGAATAGGTGTGGGTTAGTAAGCAGATTCATCTAGAGTGCTAGTCAATCAATTTAAAATGCTCAGGAAAAACGTGTATTATGAAAAACACTATGCAAAGATTTTTAAATATTTTACACCAAATAAACCTCACATTATAATTTCAGTTTTCCATGGATTTTTTGAAGTATTCTTATATATGTATTTGTGTGTGTTTGCAGTCTTGGAATTATTCTTCTCTAGTTTTCCGTATGGCATGGGCCACTGGCTGTAAGGTTCATAAGCTTATAGGCATTGTTTCTATCTCTGCACATGGCTTTCTTCCATATGATATGAAGTTCACATAATAAATACATATCCAATCCATTCTTGTTACACTGGTTACTCCCTCAGTAAAGTCATAGTCACCTCTCTGTTACTGACAGAATCGTTGACCCAGTCTCAGCTGGATTATATAACTGAATAAGAAACTTAGTTAGTAGTTAATGATGAACCTTAGAAAAAGAATAAGAATTTTTATATATGCATTGGGGCTATTTTGTCTTATTGGTTGAATGAGGAAAATATTAGTGAAGACGTAAAACTATTACTATAAAATTTAAGTCAAATCTGAAAGAACTTTAATCTCATGGTAAAATATATATAATACCATGGCCTACTTTCTAAAAGGACAAATAGGTTTTTTTTTTTTAAGCCTTCTGGAGGTCTTTTTTGAATAATTATTTTATTTTATTCATTATTATGATTTTTCAATTTGACCAGAGAGAGACAGAGACAGGGAAAGTGGGAAAGCACATCACCAGATCCAGGGCTTGAACCATGGCCAGCCAGATGGGAGTCCAGTACCTTAACAAATATGTCACCTCAAATAGTTTTTTTATATTATTATAAAATCTATTTTAATGGGGCTGGCAGATGGCATAGTGGTTGGGGCACTGAACTTCCGCATGGTCAGCCATGGTTTAAGTCTTGGGTGGTGGCTTGCTTTCTCACTTTCCTTCTCTCTCTCTTTCTTTCTCTCTCTGGTCAAATTAAAAAATAATAAATAAATCAAGTTAATTAAATAATTTTATTTATTTACTTTTTAGAGAGAAATTTTTTGCTATAGGGCACATGCACTCACCAGAGACAAGGACAAGACAGAAAGCGAGAAATCACCCCCCAGGAAGGATAGCTACATCACAATCCCTTCTCTTCCATTCTCCTTCTAGGGATTTTGGGCATGCTCAGTGTGTTTCAAGCCACTTGGTCCAGGACTCTAACTGCAGTTGACTACATGGGAGTCCAGTGATGTAAGCATTATGCCATTTGTTGGTCTTAAAATAATTATGTTTTAAAAATGTATTTTAACTATTCCAAAGATAATTAGTGTGAAAACTAGAGTAAGTTTATTGTGGAAAAGCCTAACTAGTTAATGTTTATGGTACAAAATTATAATACTTTTTCTCTTAGAGTTGTGTACTTTATTTGTCTTAGGGATTAATTTTACTCAACAACCTTATTGAGAATTATTTCATTTCCACATCATCCAACTTGATATAATTAACTCAACCTATATAAAAGAACCTATGCAGATTATTTTTAAAGTTAGTAATGAATTTAAAGATATATTTTCTCCTTATAAAAATATACTCACAAGTAAAGTGACTTAAAACCCAGTCTAAGAGACCAGCAGATGGTGTGGTAGTTACGGTGCTGGACTCCCACATGGCTGCCCATGGTTCAAGTCTTGGGCCAGGAGGCTTGAAAATCATTCTGGGCAAGTGTGTGTGCATGCCCAAAATCCAAAAGGAGAATGGGGGAGAGGAGATCGTGGTGTGGCCCTCCCCCAAAGGAATGATTTCTCACTTTTCCTCTCTCTCTCTCTCTCCCTCCCCCCATCCCAACAAGTGCATGTACCCTATGGCAAAAACATAAAACAAAAGCAAAAACAAAAAACCTAATGTGAAATCTCAGTCTGTCATGATACTATGACTTTGTCTCAAATTTCCTGTTTTCTTTCTGATTCTCAAATGGTTCCATGATGAAAACAAGCTTCCTGGAAGAACTGTTCATCTTAATTTGTGTGCTTTTAGTTCTGAACATTGCATGTTGGCCACTGGGAACATTTGCAAGGAGGGTGGCTGCTTACTATTTACAAGGACTGCCTAGAGTACATTCTTTTTCCTGACAAGTAATGCAGCAATGTTTATACCCTTCAGAGGGTTCACTAGCTCCAGGATCCTCTTTATCGTGGCCAGTCTACTCTCCTGCCATGAACGTAAACAGGATTTCCTGGACAGTAGCTGCTTTTCAGATGGGTGGGGCTGGTAACAATCCCATATCACCCCTTCCTCATCTGCATTGTCGCATCCCGGGGTCTGAAGGCAGCATAAGATCAATGGTTGCCTGAGGGTCAGATCTGGCCTGAAACCCACCTCTCTGTGCTCTTTGCAGAGACCACGTGCCTGGACACCACTTGGTGATACATAGAAGCATTATTTTCTGTTAAAACCAAGGCAGTTCTTCTGCTAGGATTTTACGAGGAGCTGAGCCAAACACACAGAAAGCTAAAAATGAAGGCTTGTGCAATTTTGTCCTGTTTCTATGAGATTTATACAGCTGCTGATCTCAGCACCAGCTCTTGGGGACCTCTTTTTCCCATCCACCTTTCGTGTTCTTCAACAGCTTCTGAAAGTGTTGGAATAACCCTAAGCATCACCTCTCCCTAGAGACTGATGAGAATGGGGAACCTCTAATAGAGAAGGAAATACCTTCTTCTTGAAAATGATTGATCCTTCAAAGCGAACTCAAAAACACCATCATAATTTAGCGGGTTATGGGTTTGCTGTTAGAAATCATCTATTCCAGTGATTCCCATACTTGACTGATGACCATGCACACCTGGAGAACACCACACACATACACATTTTGTAGGCTTGAGTGCAGTGAATTGAAGTTGACTCTTCATAGTTATGCCCAGAAATTTGCATTTTCCAATTCCTTGCTGGCTAGCTTGATGATCAGGCAGGCTTGGGACTGGACATTCTAATACAAATGAATAAACATGAAGATATTCTTGGAGAGCCAATGCTAGCACCTAAACTTGTTTTTGACTTTTTGCTTTTATTTTTTTTTCTCCCTTCACTTTGGACACCTGCTGCTACTGCTTCTCTGGGGACAGACAACCAGGCAGTCTCAAAGTATAGTTGCTTATATTTTCCTTCTTTTGTCTGGGAGAGGGGGGGCTGACACTTGTTCACTCTTCTCTCCAGTGGTACTGGATAGAGAAAAGGTGATGATCATAATAGTAGCAATAACAATAGAGCTGCCATTCATTTATCATCTAGTAGCTTCTCATGCCATGAGGACAGTATTCATACTTCTGTTTTGCAGATGTCAAAACTGAGTTTCAAAAAGTTGAAGCCACATTGATAGTAAGTGTCAGAGCTGAAATTTGAAACCAAATTTTTCTGACTCCAAAGTCCTTTCTTTTATAAATAGATTTTTTATTTTTTTTAATTTTATTTTATTTTTATTTTTTTGGAGAGATTTTTGCTATAGGGCGCGTGCGCTCGCTAGACAGACAGAGAGAGACATAGAGACAGAAAGCGAGAAATCACCCCCCAGGGGGGATGGTCACGCCGCAATCCCTTCTCCTCCATTCTCCTCTCAGGATCTTGGACACGCACGCACACGCGCCTGGCGTGAGTTTTAAGTCACCGGGTCCGGTACGCGAACCGCAGTCGACTACGTGGGGATCCAGCGACATAGCCATTACGCTAACTGCTGGTTCCCTATAAATAGATTTTTTGCTATAGAGTGTGTGTGCTCACCAGAGAGAGAGACAAAAAGCAAGAAATCATCTCCCCAGGGAGGGAGGGAAGGTGGAAAATATGCCACAATCCCTTCTCCAGTCTCCTTTCAGGATTTTAGGCATGCATGTACACACATTTGGCATGAGTTTCAAGCTGCCAAGTCTGGGACTTGAACTGTTGTCGACCACATGGGAGTCGAGTGCCTTAACCACCATACCACCTGCTGGTTATTTCTTTCATGAGCAACAGAGAGAGAGAGAGCATGTCCAATAGGGTCCTTATGCTGCAGTCTAGCCTTAGCCAGTCCCAGTTCATGGGTATACAGGTACTCTGAGTACTCAAGGAGGTCTCTGGAGGTGAATCTAGAACCTTCCCATGCGGTTTAGCCTTGCCGATCACAGTGTCAAGTTGCCGCACCACCGTCCAGTCCCTATTTATTATCTTTTATTAGTTATACCCTGTCACAACTCAAATGGATGAAGATCATGAACGTGACCACTTTGTTAACCCTAATATGCTGTAAATATTAAGATATGATCATAAAACGTGTCTTTAGAACTTGGTGCAGAATTTCTAAAGTTAATTTAAAATCAACTTCAAGATGAAGTTCAAGGTGATTAATAAATGGAAAGGTTATGTAAAAACCTTGTTCAGTTCCATTCATCATAATAAATGTCTTAGAAATCCACATTCGGGAAAAATATATTGTAGCACGTTGTC